TGATAGCGGCGGCCGTGAGGCGGGCGGCGGCGCGGACGGGCCGGGACTCGGAGAGCCGCTCCACCACCCGCGGGCTGCTCAGCAGCGCCAGCAGCACCCGCCGCAACACCATCCCGGCCCCGCCAGACACCGCCCCTCTCGCGAGAGCCGACACCTGCGCCTCGCCGCGCCCCGCCTGCTCTCGCGAGGGTCGTGGCCCGCCTCGCTATTGGCTGCGCGCTTAGCGGCCGTCGGCGGCGCCTGCAGGGCCGGTGTTGAGGGGCGGCAGCGCCATGTGTTCCGCGGACACGCTCAGCGTCTTGCGCAGCGACTCTTACGTTGACCTCAGCCAGTACCGGGACCAGCACTTCCGGGTGAGCGGGACCCCGCCGCCGCCGCCGCTGCTGCTGCCGCCGCGGGGGGTGGGGGCAGCGCGGAACGCCTGGGCCGGGCCCGGTTGTCGTCGGGTAACGCTGTCGTTGCGGCTCAGGGGACGCGGTATGACCAGGAGCGGCTGCTGAGGAAGAGCTGCACGCTGTACGTGGGGAACCTCTCCTTCTACACCACGGAGGAGCAGATCCATGAGCTCTTCGGTAAGAGCGGTGACATCAAGAAGGTCATCATGGGGCTGGACAAAGTGAAGAAAACTCCCTGCGGTTTCTGCTTCGTGGAGTATCCTTCTAAGGGCCCGGCCCCGCCGCCGCTGGTGGGGCCGGCCCGGTTGGTGCTGCGGCTGGAGGCGGGGGCGGGCGAGCAGAAATGCGGACTCCGGGTCACGGGGGCACGAACCGAGGGTAAAGCTACTCGGTTGCCAAAGCGTGCGAGGGAGTTCTGGGCGAGAGGGGGCAGCGCGAGGTTATTTATTGTTTTAAAGGTTTTTTCCAACCTGAATGATTCTGCGGTTGTAACAACCCTGCACGTCGAGTGGGGGTTATTGGGTTGCTTTCACTCTGATGCTTTCAGCCGGACACTTGTTAGATAGTTGGCCTCTGTAGTAAAAGCATATTCTCAGTGCCCAACTAAAGAGGTCTCACCCATAGTTTCTGTTGGTATGTGGCATCCCTGTAATGTGTTGGCTTTGTTACGTGCAAGTCTCTTTAAAGATCATTCTGTTACTGGTTCCAGCAAAGTCACCAAAATGGTGAAAGATTGCCATGTCAACGGAGCATGCTCTTTGCCATGCAAACAATGCGTGGTGCTTTGCATTCTTGCTTTGCTAATAGAGCTTTGTGCTTTTACAGGTGAGTGTGGTTGAAGAACTTCATCCAATATGTGCATTTTTTGTATTGTTGAGCTCCTGCACATGCTGTTTCACTAGCAGTTTTCTTAGCTTGTATAGCTTCATAAAAGCAGTTGCTTTTAAAGCTAACCAAGCAAGAACCTGATGCAAGCAAATACTTGGTTTTGTGGCCCATTCAATGTTGATTTTCCCTGTGTTGAAAATAGAAGCCCCCCCCTCCCCCCCTTTTTTTTTTTTCATTAACTTATTCCTAAGGTATTATGCAAGAGGAGATGCTGAAAATGCAATGCGATACATCAATGGAACCAGACTTGATGACAGAATCATAAGGACAGACTGGGATGCCGGATTTAAGGAGGGTAGACAGTATGGTCGTGGAAGATCAGGGGGCCAGGTAAGTTGTTGTACAGTCTAGATTTTAATTTGACATTGCCAAATTACTGGGTTTTGAATGAACACACTTGGAACAACTTAAAAAATAGTAACTTCAAAGTCATTGTTTAAGACATCATCTCAATGATGATGTTATGTACCAAGAATAAATAACTTTTTCATGTATTTAATTGAAAGTACTTTCAGAAACTTTGTGGCTGCTTGGGGAGACAACACTTAAAATAAGCCCAGAAAATGTAAGGCTGTCAGGAACACAGAGGACAGCACCTAGCTTACCTGAAGTTGAGCAGGTAGCAGATGCTTTTACTCCTGAAGCATGAGGCTGGTCATCCTCCCTTGGGTTGTTGTAATTAAAGAGTCCCCCTGGGCATTGTTAAAAAGGAAGTTAGTTTACGCTGTGTTCTGGCCTTCTGTGTTATGTGCTTTGCCTTCTCTTTTGTCAGTCAGCTCCTTGTGGCCACTTATTTGTTGTGAACTCATTTTGACTATTCTGATGTTGTAATAGTTTCTGAGACATTGTTTTAATTTGTCTTTACTGGAATTCCCTTTTTCCCTCCTTTGTAAGGTCCGAGATGAATATCGGCAAGACTATGATGCTGGAAGAGGTGGCTATGGCAAAAATGTTCAGTGCCAGTGAATAGTGAATGACTCTTCAGCCTCACAGAAGTAGATTTGTATTGTAAATGTCACCAGGCACAAAGTAGGTCTGCTGCACACCAATTTATGTAGCTAGAAATTCACAGAAACTACTACCCGTGATCTTGTGATTGCGTATGTTCAGTATCTCTTTTGTTTTAATATCGGGATCCAAAGCATTGCAGAGTATGTTAATACAGAGGACCTGGGAGTGAGGTTTTAAGCAATAATATGAGTGAGGCTTTGGTGTTTAAACGCTGCTGTAACTTCACTAAAGGAACAAAGTCTTAATGGTATGGTGCTTTTTTTCTTTTTCACTGTCAAAACTTGATTATTCTGTCACTGGGATTTGTTTACATTGGTATCACAGGGTGGAGAATGGCAATAAAGGAGGGTTGGGGAATGTGTCAGAGATGAAAGAAAAAGGCAGAAAGCACAGAAAAACAAGTGGAATTTCTAGGGAAAATTTCAATTTCTAGGGAAGACTTAAAACTGCAGATTTTCTGGTTTTACTGGATTAGCATCCTTTCACACTGAGGCTGTTCCTAGCACACCTACATGAATGGCCACAATAAACCAAGTCAGATTGTGAGCCCAGGAATCATACAGTAAGAAGCAAACCTAGCAGAAAACAGCCATGCCCTCTTCTACAGAGCGTCATGTAATTGCGTGAAACTGCGTGATACAGAACCATTTTGCTTTGTGGGATGCCGAGAGTGTAAGAATTACAGTTGCAGTTATTTTCACGGTTGGAGTAGTAATATTTTGCTCCTGTCTGGCAGCTCTCTACAGCCTCAATATCTGACAAGCAGTATCTTTCCTGTGCCTAAAGAGGTGGCATGAAGCCACATTGTACAGTTGCCCCCAAAATGGGATGTTTGAGGAACTGTATGTATAATGAGAAAGTTTGTTTTCAAAATAGATTTTCTAGTTGAGAAACTGCAGTACAAACAAAGGTAAAAGTAAAGAAGGATGAGTTTGAGGAAGAGCTTTACTTTCTACTGAGCATGTGGTAAGAATGGTGAAAGAATGCAGGACTGCATAGATTTATTTTGGTTTTTCCTTCTTCTTCCTCTGAGTCCTGTTAATGCTGCTACTTTGTATGATGGGATTTTGAGGTACTGCAGGTACAGGAATAAAAATAACTAGTGATCCCAAGATCTGTGAAATTGACCTGCTAAAGCAAAATAGTTTAAAAGGAACTGTTACAGGGCTTGGGATTATTGGTTCGATTTGGTTGGTTTGGTTATTTTATGGACTTCTGAGTTCTTTGGAAATTGCAGTTTACAGAGTTTCGTCCACATATCTTGTTCATGACTCCTTAAAAGAACTTCAAAATACCAGGTATGTAAAAGTTGATCTTTACTCACTGAAGATATTGTTGGAAATCTTGATCAGTTTCCTGTGAACAGTTAGTCACAACTGCTCCTCTAAATTCAAAATACAATGAGGAAGAGCAACTACAATGAGACTTCGCTTTCTTAGGAAGCCAGGTTGTGGGTGGGCTTTGGGCTTGCTTGGCACATGGATTAAAACTACATTTTCAGGATCACTCGGTGCTGGTCTGTAAACAAGACTTTGAATAAAGTTACCTTTTTCTATATAGTACATTTGATCATGAGTTTACAGCTTACAATCTGCTCTAGGGAACCTCTGAAGTTTATTTTTCATTATATCAATTTTGTATTAAAAATATGTATTACCAAAACTTTTCAGTCACTGTCAAATAAAGCTGCAAATTTAAAATGGATTGTTATTTTTATATTTTCTTTACAAAATCAGCGAGAGAAAGAAGCTGTATTGAGACTTGTTCACAGCCTTTATTCTAATGTCTTTTAAGATGGAGAGAATGAATATTTCTTCCCTCTGACTGGATTTTCAGTGTTCTTTAGTTCTTAGCTGGATGCTGACAGCTGTTTGGTTAATGCTGTTCTTTCTGATACTCTTTGGATTATGAAACAGAAATGAAATTACTGATACTGAAGTGGATGTGAAAGTCCTTGTTGTGTAACAAGTAGCTTTCAAGGTGCACTTGCTTATAAAAATGAGGCTTTAAATTATTTTTTATTTTAAGTGCTGCAAGACATTCATTCTCAAATGAAATGGAGGTGATAGTAAGATTTCCGCTCAAAACCATCTTTGTCTTTTGCTGCATATGTGCAATGTATACGGAAAGATTTTGTCTTAAAGTGAGATTTTCCATTTTGAGAGAAATTTCAATCAAACTGGTATTAAAAAGCACAAGATGCATCATGTAAAGTCATAGTATCTCAAAAGCTTGTACATAGGAAATTGGATTGATTTTTGCCTTCCCTGATTGAAATTGGACATGGCTCTGCTGAAACTAGTGTTTAACACAAGTAACTGAATTAAGTCTTTAAAACTTCATTGAGGGGCTTCTTTAGCTTTCTTCTGTGCCAGTTTATTGTGATTCGGTTCTCTTGGAAGTACAGGATCTCCTGTGATTTTTGACATGCCAGTCCATTATGATTATATACACTTTCCTAGAAGTTTAAGATCTATATTAGCTTTTCTAAATACTTGTTCATTATAATTAGGTACTCCTATGGAATTGTATCCATAAAGAAATACATCAGCTAAGAATGTGGGTGGAAGCTTAGTCATGCCTTGGGGGAAGAGAGGCTGTTACAAATCAAGGCAGCAAGAGCTTCAGTCTCCCACAGACTGTGGTGCAGCCTCATGCTGGATTGATTTACATGCCTCTCTTTGGTACCAATAGCTGCAAATAAGATTTGTATTCACAGCATTTGAGTTTTTGTATTGCAGTGTAAATTGGAGCATTAAAAGCCTTCATTTTCAATGACTGACAAAATAATCCCTGTTACCAGTGTAGCCCTGCAGGCTGGTTCCAAGGTGGTCTTTATATCAGTCAGATTACTTACTACCCTGTGCAGCAGCAGTTTGTGCTCAGATTGGTGCCAGTGCAACCACCATTGGTGTTAAGATTCTTTCTACGCAGGGAATTCTGAAAGACAAAATGATTGAAGTATTTAAATTAATATCCATCCAAGTATTTCATCTTTAACAGCTTGTCAGATCAGGTTTCTTGTGAAGGTAAAAATCCATTAAGAGCTCTACTAAAATCAAGTGGCTTATACAAAGGCTTTGATCTATAGTCAAAGACAATGCTAGTCAAAAAGGAAAGCAGTCCACAGGGACTCAGCATCTAATAAACTGTTGTCCATTTATTAGATGTTCAGTCCATCCGAGTTTCTAAAGGACAAATTGTACCTTATGCTACAGCATATAAATGAAGAAGAATTAGACTGGGTACTTCGCAGTTGCTGGGATTTCTGCTCCGAATTAACTTTGGTACTTTTGGGTGAGTGTAGAGCCTGATACAACTACAGGTAAAGCGCAAAAAAACTGTCAAGAGACTGCAGAGAGAAGCGTCCTGGGCTTTGAAATGTCTGTCATGTTTGGAAAATAATGGCCTGATTTATTAATTTCCTGCTTTTATGTGTCTCCTGCTTGTATCTGTCTAAATAAGCTTTTGCACAAGGGACTGGATGTACTCAGAGCTGCTCTACAGTAACACACGACTCCTCTGCTCTCCCTTTGGGGTAACTAGATGGTGTAAATGTTTCTTGTGGCTTGGGGAAGTTTCTCGTGTCAGAGTTCCATAGTTCATGAAGATTACCTTCCTGCCACTCTGCTTCCCAGCCTGCTTCCAAAGGCAAAGATGTACTTCAGCGAGGTAATATTCTTCAAAATTATTTTGACTTCTACCTGAAGGCTATTTGAATGCCTGTGAGGGTTCCTTACAGGGAAAAAAAAAAGGGGGGGTGGGGGGAGGGTGAGGAGGAAAAGTGTAGACAAACTCTACTTTGCGCTGCTTACTAGTTGGTATGTTCAGGTCTGACACAATCTTTCCCTTTAGCAGAGCCGTGAAATTTTGTTTCAAACCCTTGAGGAGCGGCACAAGTCAAATACCAGATGGCTCCCTCTAGTGAGTACAGAGGTAGTATGCTTTTAAGTTCCGACATCTCCAAGAGGGCTGCTGAAAGCTCTGTGTAGTGTCCTGCATGTCATCCGGTCTCAAGATTTTGCTTTTGTGTCGTAAAAATGGGCAAAACCATAATTTTCATCTGTAGACCGTTTTTCAGAGTGGTGGCAACTAGAGATCAGGGATCCATGATTTTGTAGCCCGTTGTTTCTCTATTTAGTAGCAGCTCAGTTGTCTTTTATACTGGGTATTGCAATATGCTGTGTCTGTGGTGATCTCCTTCCCTGCCCCTAGCAACCTCTTCAGATGTTGCCAGAGGCACACCTGTGATACTGAAGGAGGGCTTGACTCTTAGATGCCAAATCCATGCTTCGCAACCTCCCAGTAATTGTATTGGTTAGCTGTGCCAGAAGATCTCCTTGTGCCAACCATCTGTTTTTCAATCTCTGGCAGGTTATAAAGTGAAGTTCTGTGTCGCACACAACAAAGTAAGTGTATGCAGCTTGGCAAGACAGTAGGCAGGTCTTAAATGTGCAGTTTGTTTCTGTGGAGTTGCAGTAGTCCTTCAGGCACTTTGCAGACTTCAGTGTTTTGCTTCAGAATATCTCTGCAGGGAAAGTACCCTTTTGTGTCTTACAGGTTTCTAATCTGAGATATAAGGGGGTTTATGCTGTGTGACAAGTCTGTTGTGGGTGAGGAGTTGAGCTTCCAGTCTCCTCAGTCCTAGCTCTGACAAGTCTTTCTTGTGCTAATGTACTTCATGACACAGCGAGTGTAGGAAAGACACTCAAGTACCCTCCTCACATGTGGCTTAGGAAGATGAGCAGTATGTGCAGGATATAGATCAGGTCTTTTAAACCATTTTTAAAAGATAATCATAAATACCTTAGGAACGCAGTAGGGGGCTAGTGGAATGAATCCTCTTCATGCAGGACTGATGTGATTTGTTTCATATTAATACCTCTCAAAGCAGTTGTAGACATCTTTGCTTAAGTCTTTCACTAGTCTGATGGAAGTGCTGTACCATTTTACAACTAGTGAACAGTTGAGTAAAGACTGTGTTTAAAACTTTCCTTCCCAGGAGCACCTTTGCCTGAGGCTGTTTCTCAGTGGTAACATGACTGTGTGGAATGGCTTTTCATGTAAATCCCTTTGCAGAATAGAGGGTCTTGGTTGTTCATTGCACCTTTGTGCTGTGCTAAATTTGGCAGAAACTAATTCAAGAGTGCATAACCTGAGTTAAATGTAGGGGGAGGGGGTTTTATTTATTTGTTCTTCACATTTGAAGGCCAAGTATTAATTATTCCTGGTGTAGGATTTTATTGCTTTGAAGGTGCTACAGCAGACATTTGCTTTTGGAAAACTTTTCTTGACTGTTCAGCAAGAGCAGCCATTCTAGCTAAATGTATCTCTCAAAAGCTTTCTATGTTCTCCAGTGCTCATCTCTGACTACATAAAACCTGTTTTTACTTTGTTCTGTTACTCTCCACCAAAGTCTGTACAAAGCCAGTTGCTTCTGCGCTGACAGGAAAATCCACCACTGTTTCAGAATCATAAAACTGACTAGGTTGGAAAAGAGCTTTAAGATCATCAAGTCCAACCCAGGACTGCCAAGTCCACCACTAAACCATATCACTGAGGGCCTCATCTGCACGGTTCTTGAACACTTCCAGGGATGGTGATTCCACCACTTCCCTGGTAAGCCTGTTCCAATACCGATTACCCTCTGTGTGAAGAAACTGTTCCTGATATCCAATCTAAACCTCCCCTGGCACAGTTTGAGGCCCTTAACTCTTGTCCTGTTGCTTGTTACCTGGGAGAAGTGACTGGCCCCAACCTCACTACAACCTCCTTTCAGGTAGTTGTAGAAAGCGATAGAGAGCACTTCAGCACCTCAATGTCTTTCCTGTAGTAGGGGCACAGAACTGAACGCTGAATGAGGGGCTGAGTCAGGATTTCAAATGCCAAGTTGCACAGGGAGAAACTGAAATACCTTCCATCAGAAAATAGTGTGAATTGAGCGTTACTGAGTTAATGACCTGGAAAACATCTTTCTCAAGTGCCTTGAGGATAAGTATGTTTCTGAAAATAAGACTGTATGTTAAGTAATTTGAATGAATTTTACTTAATTAGAGGTACCTCTGATTCCCTTTTCAAGGTGTGCCATTTATTGATCCTTCTTGGACTGGTATTTTTCAATTAGAACAATATTGAACCACAACTTAAATTATTTCAGGTATAATTAAAAGACTTTTTTTTTTCTGAACACAATTTGAAAACAAATGGCAAATAAAATTTGCTATTTTGATATTTCTCCAGTTACATGCAACATAAATATCAGCATAAATTAGCCTAATTGGGTCAGCTTGTAATTAAATTTCTGGACAATAAAGCTTTTCCCTTCTGTACCAATCTCTCCCTGCAAGCCACAATTTAAAAAGCAGATTATGATTTTCTAGTGAGTAAAAATATATTAAATATTCATAACACGTACTTTAGGTCTGTAGCTCACATGCTTCGAACTGAACTTTTGTTTTTCTGACTTTATTACTTTAAGGTAATGTTCTTATTTCATACTTTGTGTTTTTGAATACGGGGAATTTTTCTGAGTTAAAAAAGTGCTGCTAGACTGTTCAGCGTGGTTTCATTTAAGTTGGTGGGGTTTGTGTTTGGTTTTCTGTAATATCACTGTTTTGCAACATCTAAAATTACTTTTTGTGAAAACAGCACCCCGTCAGCTTGTCATGCAGCCACAAGATGTCATGAGAAGCTGTGCCTCGTTGCAGGAGGAGTGAGCTTTGTGCTTTGTGAGCCCTCACAAGGGGTCAAGTCGAGCAGTAGTTCTGGAACCAGGTGTTCTGGAAACATCTCAGTTCTCCATACAACTATTGCAGTGTCTCAATTTCTTCAATTAACCCTTTCATATTAGGGTTATGCTTGAAACAAGTGGCTAAGTAACTGCTTGAACTGTCTTCTAACATGCCCTGAAGCAGCAGATGTAGGAGTGCCTTAAGGTTCCCAAGATGTAGCATGCCCTGTAACATTAAGCACTGTACAACTGAAAGGTTCTCTATGGTAACCATGATTGTGCGTGCTGGAAGAGGACTGGTTTGTGGTTTGGGTTTTGCAGGGGTTTGGTGGTTTTTTTCCGCTCTGAATTTACTCCAGTAAGAGGAGAAATGTGCTTCCAGGAACTGGAAAGGACTTTCTCCCATTAAATCCAGGAATGTCCCAGAGTCTGCACTTTTGCTTCTGCTTTTAAATTCCCAGCTGAATTTCCTCTTTGAAAGCTACATATTAGCTTGAAAAAGCTATCAAGCAGCAACTTCGCATAAAGTAAACACTTAATATGCTAGTGTGCCCGCAGAGTTCTTGAAAGGTCTCGTGGGAGCAGTATTGACTCCTGAGTTGTATCTCGGCGTGAGTCAGGGAAGCTGAGCAAAACAGTGTCACAAAAAGAAACCACAGCTTTCTGGTAGGAGGGATTAAAAATCCCTCAGGGTAAGTGTCCAAAATCAGTTGCAAGACAGTATTTTTCTGAGAATCCAAGGCTGTGAGGACCAACAAATATTACTCGGTCTACAGAGTTGGACAGAGAAAGACCTTGGTTCAGGCGAGCACAGAAAGTTGGCAGTATGTGAGAAGTGAGGGAAAGATTCCAGCTAATTTGTGTTAATCCAGTCATTTGGATTCTAGACGCAAAATGGGTCACCAAGGCAAAGTTAATAAAACATTAGAAGAGGCCCAGCAGCCTGAATAAATACATGGTGTTCATCAGCAGTCTCTGGATATGGTGTTGATTCTGTGTTTGATCATGTATTTTCCCCTAAAGATATTTAATTGAACTAAAACTGGTGTGAGACTGAGTTTGTTATGATTGATTCACTCCCTGTCAGAAAACAAAATCACTTTGATGTATGTGAATGAGTGGTGCTGTTTCTCGTTGTGCTCTGTGAATTGTCTTCCCCATCGAGCAGAGTACTTCACAGGCTGGCACACTCTGTGAGCAGTGCACGCCTCAGCAGGCACAACACGTTTGTTGTTGTCAGTATGGAGATGAATAGAATAGAGAACTAAATAATTTTAATCTCTTTATAGGAAAGAATGATTCAGGGCTCCAACTTCAGACAAATCTGAAAATAATTAACTGTTCCCAGACCTACAGCTGTCCTGAGAGGCAAGAAAACATCATACAAAGCTGTGTGCTTGAAGTACCAAAGCTTTAAGGTGCTCAAGATTGTGGTGGACTCTTGGGCTGTAGAGTTGGATGTGCAGCACTGGAGAGAGCCTGTTTTCACTGGATATTAGCAGGATGTGTGTATCCCACCTCTTGGAGGACGATGGGTGTTATAGCTGGCAAAGGCTTCAGAGCATATGTAGAGCTGTACTGCAACTGCCTTGTGTGCAGAGGGTTGGGACACTTTTCCCTACATATGTGGCACTAGAACAAAGCTCGTGATTTTCCTTTTTTAATGATTATGGCAGGTGCCTCCTCTGTTCAGGAAGAGACTTTCATTGCAGCTGTAAAGTCTAGGGGAATTTAATGTATTCCGTGGATATACAGATACAACAATATGGGTTGAAGTACATGAGGTTACTGGAATTTTTTTTTTTTAGCTTTTGATATTTTAAGTTATAATAATTTGAAATGAATATTTTAGTGCACATAAAATGCAGAATTGCCTCTCAATAATTATTTTTTCACTGTTAGCCAGAGGTTCACTAAGCTATGCAATTTAACAATGCAGTTCTCCTCTTAGCTGCGTATCATTACAATCCTAGGGAATCAGTTTCTTCATGAGTTCCAAAATTCACAGATATGTGAACAAAGTCCAGCGTAAGTATAGTGTAATAGGGCTTCTTTAAAAGCTGTTTTAATTTCTTCTTCTTTTTTTTTTTCCCCTTAGTGAAATGGATTTTCTAATGTAGGAAGAATATAATACAAATTCATTTTGTATAAGAACCTTTTATGATTATTCATTATTTCTAAACTTTTTTTATTGATAAATATGTTGTCGCCACAACTGCTGTCAGTGACAGTATAACTTACATAGTAAGTATAACTTTGAGAGGCTAAAACTACAGAGGAACAGTGGTGACAAAAGGTAGAACTAAAGCATCGTTTTCTCTTTGGCCTTCCTTTTAAAGGGAGGGTAGGTATTCCACATTTATAAGGATTATATTGTTGCTTCTCAGACATGATTCAAAGATACATATTGAAAGATGGGAAAGTATAAAACATCGTTGTGTCATTAGGAATTCTAGTCCCATTCAAATAGGAAATGTTCGATTTATGATCCTTAAAGAAAGCTCATGAACAGCTTTTCCACTTGAGGAGAAAAGCGTAAGAATAGTTTTCTAAAAGTCTGTATAAAATGAACATTTCCTTTTGAACCCTTTATTCATTCAATTTCTGGGCATATTTAAAAAATCATTGAAGAATTAATGGAAGCTATATGAAAAATAATATTAAAACCCCTCAGTGAAATGCCAGTGGTTTGGGGCTTTTTTTCAGTATTCATGGTTTAGTTTTTGAGTAAAATAAATGTTGATTTCAATAGGCCTGAACCTATTGAGCAGTTGAGCACCACTTGAGGACCTGCTTCCCTTTCATTTACTCCAGGGTGGATGAAAAGAGAATTCACAGACCTCGGTGGCATTACTGTGCATAGACCTAAGGGTGAACAGAATATCTGCTGTCATTTGCAAGGGCTATTTATTTAAGAGAAAAGGATCTCAGTTTCTGGATTGAGTGTGCTATAAACCTTGGCATTGGAATATTTCTGCTAAGTGTGTTGAACACTTAACTCTTTGTGTATGTGGGGTTATTATCTTTATGCACACACATCCTATGAGCAGGGATGTGAAACTATCAGTGAAAAGCAGGCTTTTTGTACCTACTGCTGTATTTACAGTCTCATAATCTGAGAATGTTGCATCTTTGCAGCGATGGTACCATGCTGAGGAATGATGATGATCATAGAATAATAGAACGGTTTGAGTTAGAAGGAACCTTATACATCATCCAGTTCCAACCCCCTGCCATGGGCAGGGACACCTTCCACTAGAGCAGGTTGCTCCAAGCCCCTTCCAACCTGGCCTTGAGCACTGCCAGGGATGGACCAGCTACCACTTCTCTGGGCAACATGTGCCAGCGCCTCACCACCCTCGGGGAAGAACTCCCTACTAACATCTAGTCTAAATCTGTCTTCTTCGAATCTTATTTATAGAATCACAGAATCACAGAATAGTTAGGATTGGAAAGGACCTTAAGATCATCTAGTTCCAACCCCCTGCCACTGGCAGGGATAGAACTTTTACGGCTCGGCACGGGTCGGCTCTGCACGGGGGAGGACCAAGGAACCGGAGCACCGAGGGGCTCTGGGGCAGCCCGGCAGCGGGAGGTGGGGGAGTCATGGTGGCCTGGGGCTGCTGTCCCGGGATGCAGCGGGGACTGTGTCCCCCTTCCCATCCCTCCCGCCGAAGGCACTCATGTTCCCCACGGCCGTTCAGTGTCACGGTCTCCTATAGCAAGAAAAGCCTATGCCCTGGCTACTGTGTACCAGCACCCAGCAGAACCAGGCGCTCCTCTTAGCAAGTCCCAGAACCATCACAGGAGCATTTCTGAGAGAGGATTTTGTATTTAATGGAATTCAGGCTTTGTATGATGGGGGCTCTTTAACTCTGGAATTGCTGAACAAGAGAACTCTGTTCTGGCAAATCTGAGTTTCAAAGAATATTCTCCTGCCATCTGGGGAGCCTTCTGCTTACAACCCCTCCTCCTTCTCCCCCCACCCCGAGTAAAAACAGAGCCATTCAGCCCAACAGCATTCCCACCTTTGGAATGATCCCTCAAAACCATCTGATTTTAACAAAGATCTGCCTGAAAAGCAAGAAAAAGAAAACCCAGTTTAGCCCAGCCAAGCCCAGCACCCTTTAGCCCAGTTGAGACCAGTTTAGCTTAGCCCAGCCCAGTTTAGCTCAATCTAGCCCAGTTCAGACCAGTCCAGCCCAGTTTAGCCTAGTTCAGCCTGACTTAGCCCAGTGTAGGGCAGTTCAGACCAGTTTAGCCTAGCCCAGCCCAGTTTAGCTCCGTATATCCCAGTATAGCCCAGTTCAGACCAGTCCAGCCCAGTTTAGCCCATTTCAGCCTGTCTTAGCCCAGTTAAATCTGGTTTAGCCCAGTTCAGACCCATGTAGCCTAACCCAGCACAGTTTGGACCAGTATAGCCCAGTTTAGACTAGTTAAGCCCAGTGCACACCTGTCCAGCCCAGTTTATCTCAGTTCAGTCACTGTACCCCAGTTCAGCCCAGCCCAGTTTAGCCCTGTTCAGCCCAGCCCAGCCCGATTTAGCCCACTTCAGCACAGTTTAGCCTTGTCCAGCCCAGTTTAGCCCAGTATAGCCCAGCCCAGCCTTGTTTAGCCCAGTTAAGCCTAGTTTGGCCCAATTCAGACCAGTCCAGCCCAGTTTAGCACAGTCCAGCACAATTAAGCCCAGCCAATAACAGTGCATTTTAGCCAGTGCATTAGTCCAGTGCATTTTAGCCCAGTTCAGACCTCTCCAGACCAGTTTAGCCCAGTCCAGCCCAAATAAACCCAGCCAAGAACAGTTCAGCCCAGTTTAGCTCAGTCCAGGCCAGCTCAGTTTAGCACAATTAGCCCAGCTCAGACCAGTCCAACCCAGCCCAGTTTAGCCCACTTAAGGCCAGTCCATTTAGCCCAGTCCAGACAAGTTTAGCTCAGTTCAGCTCATTTTAGACTTGTCCAGCCAGGCTAAGACAGGTCCACCCCACCTCAGCCCAATGGAGTCAAGGCCAGCCCAGTTTAGTCTGGTCCAGCCCACTTTAATCCAGTACAGCTCAGTTTAGCCCAATGTTGCCCATCCCAGTTTAGCTTACTCCAGCCCAGCTCACTACAGTCCATGCCGTTTTACCCCTGCCCAGCCCAGTTTAGCCTAGACCAGCCCACTTTAGCCCACTGCACACCACTACAGCCCACTTGATCTCAGTTCAGACACTTTATCCCACTTCAGCCCAGCCCACTTTAGCCCTGTCCACCCCATTCCAGCTCATCCCAGCCTGTTTAGCCCCGTTTAGCCCAGCGTAGCCAACGTTAACACAGTCCGTTCCAGTTTAGCCCAGCCTATTTTAGCCCTGCCCAGCCCACTTTAGCCGAGTTCTGCCCAGTTCAGCCCAGCCCAGTTTAGCCCAATTCAGACCTGTCAAGACCAATTTAGCACAGAATAATTTGACAGAAATACTGCCAACAATGATGTTAGTGCTTCATCACAGCACGTTCGGCTTCAGAGTCCTGTTTGTCATGTTCTAAATTTATGAGCATCTCTTGACTTTTGTAGCAGGTTGATTAGATTAGGGACTGACTCTGGTAAGAACAGAGATGTTCTGAGCCGCATCACTTGTGAACATGAACTGGTTGATCTTTGTGACAATGAGCTGTACTCTTTGTCCTGCTGTCAGCAGAAGCACAGGGGTCTGCAGGGATGACAGCCATTACTCCTGAACTGTTTTTTTTTTCCTTTTTTTCTTTTTTCTTTTTTCTTCGTTACAGTCTTTATGCTGGCTCTTATGGCCTAGTGTATTATAGAGAAACATGAATATTTTGTTTCCCATGAAGCCAGGAAATTGGGAGTTAATTTTATATGAAATCAATGTGATTCATACTTTTATAGAGTCATTTGCCGAGGTATCTCCAGAGAGGAGCCTTCAACACCGGAGCGAGGGGAGACACCGCTCCCCGGAGCCTCAGCTCCGAGCGGCACGAACCACCGAGGGAGCCTCCAGCCCTGGCCGGGCCTTGCCCAGGAGCCGGCGGCTCCGCTGAGGCGAGTAGGGACTCACAGGAGGGACGGCACCGCCCTGCGCAGGTAAAACACGCCCCAGGAGCGCGGTGACGAGAGCGAGGCGCGGCAGTCAGCGTGAGCGGGGAGCGAGCGGGGTGGTGAGCCCGCGCGTCAGGGCCCGGTCTGGAAGCTATGCTCTGGGTGCCTTGGCGGTGGGCAGGAGTGCCTGCACTGGTCTGTTGAGAGGGTGCGCAATGGGCAGGGCTGCACTTGGGGCGTGCTGGTGGAGGTCCTGGCGGAGGGTATTCATCCAGGAAACTGGGAGCTAGTAACAACACACACACACAAAAAAGCAGGAAGAAGACAATTAAGACCAAGGGGCATCCTCCAGTATGACGACCCCACCCAGAAGCGCTTTGCAGTTCCGCAAAGGGGGTTATGAGGAAACGCCGACAGCACCGCCTGGAAGCAGTAGTAACAATCCTCTTTACTGGTGGATCAGGTGTTTGTTCATTTGGTGTGGTGGGCAGTTGTGGGGTTTTGGTTTTCTTTTTTGTTGTTTTTGTTTTGTTTTGTTTTTGTTAGTAGCTTCCTGCATTAACACCCTCCTCGTTTTCTGTATGCGCTATGGTGGACGCTTGTGGCCCCTGCACAGTTTGGGCCTGGAGCAAGCAGCCCTGCTCCCTCTCAGCTCCCCTGACATGTTTCAGCCTATTGACAGCCCTCCGCAGCTCAGCCCCTGCTGCAGGAGGACCTCCACCAGGGCGCACCGAGTGCGGCCCTGCCCGTTGTTCACCTTCCCCTCACCAGACCAGTGCAAGCACTCTCTACACCCCGAGCTCCGCACTGCAGCCTCCCCTCTCATCGGCTCTGTCTGGTGCCGACGCTGCCACCACCGCGGCAGCCAGAGCAGAGCTCCCAGACCGGGCCCTGGCCCTGACCCGAGTGCTCACCATCCCGCTCCCGCTGCCAACTGCCCCGCCACTCTCTCCTCGCCGCGCTCCCTGGAACGGGCTTTACTCGCTCCGAGAGGTGCGGTCCCTTCTGCCACCGCACCCTGTGAGTCCCTGCTCGCCTCAGCGAAGCTGCCGGATCCCGGGCAAGGCCTGGCCAGGGCTTGCCCCCTCGGTGGCTCGAGCCGCTTAGAACTGAGTCTCCTTCCCCTCGCTCCGGTGCTGAAGGCTCCTCTCTGGACCTCCACCTCGGCAAATCATCTTTCCTTGAAGAACTCCAGAGTTAAGCATTTTAGGTCATCTGTTACATGCAGAAAGAAAAGACATAGCCAAGAAAATGGGGTGCTCTGTTTAAAAAAGATGTGAAAAAAAAGTTTTAGATGTTTTGCAATATTTACCTAGTCCTTGGCTAAGCTGTGTATGTTCATTTATTGATAGCAAACTCCCTGTTTCCTGTAGTTGCAGACTTTACTGCAAGTAGACTAGCATCTTTCCGTAAAGGACAGGAGCACAATCCCATTCTTGAAAGGGGCATTAGGCTGTTTCCTCTCTTGGGGTATAAGACTATGTAGCTGTAATGAAGCTGTTCTGAGTGCAGTGGGGAGCACAGAGGCAACCTGCTTCAATGCACAGCCCACATCTGTCCTTGGGAGAATTGAAAGTGGCAGGAAGCATGCTGAGGCTGTGTGTCAGCCAAGCAGAGTTCAGAACAGGCTGCATCTCAAGCTTCAGTTTAATTTCTAGCAACAGTTTTTGAGGCACTTGAGTCCAGATCATTAAGAACAAAAGTTTCCTTCTCTGAATTACCACTGTGTGTCAGCAGCTGCTTGGGAACTTTGAGCAAACTTGGAACTATCTTCCACAGAAGCACGTGTTTAGCTCTTACACAACTGTTGGGACTTAGGCTGTTTAGTTTCATGTGTGAGTTACCTGCTTTATGTGTTGAAGAGCCAACAATTTGAACGTGCTGCCTTTGTTGGGCCTTTGCAACTGTGATCTGTACCAAAGGGACATTTTCTTCCAGAGTGGTCTGGTATCTCCAGTATCACTCCTGCGAGACCTGGCACGTGGACAGCACATTGTCTTTAAAACACTTCATCAGTTCTTACTCGCTTTTGTGTTTTGGAGGACTGAAATGAATTGACTGTTTCAATCTATTTAGCTAAACAATAGCTTAATACGAGAAAGATGGGAGCTTTTTGATGTGATTCTTAACCAAGAAAACACAATGTTCCTTTTTTATTTATCTAATTAAAGGAGCACTGTAAATCAAATAGAAAAAAATGAAATTGTTCCTCTCAGTCCTCGATTGACCTGCATCAGGCAGAGATTAATTTCACAGGGTCACAGAATAGCTGGGGCTGGATGGGACCACTCAGAACTATCCAGTTCAAACTCCTGCTCAAAACAGGTCACATAAAGCGGGTGGCATAGGGCCATGTCCACTCAAGTTTTGAACATCTCCAAGGGTGGTGACTCCAGAACAACTATGGGCAACATGTTCCAGTGTTTGGGCATCCGCACAGTAAGAAAAGTCTCTTTTTCTGTTCATATGGAATTTCATGTGCTTTAACTTGTGCTGCTTATCTCTTGTCCTGTTGCTGAGCACCACGAAGAAGTCTGGCTCTGTCTTCTTTACACCCTCACATCAGGTATTTATGCATAGAGGTAGGATCTCCCTGATCTGATCCTTCTCCAGGGTGAACAGTCCCAGCTCCCTCAGCCTCTCCTTATATGAAAGATGCTCCAGTCCCTCAATCATCATTATGGCCCTTCACAGGACTCACTCCAGTGTGCCCTGTCTCTTGTACTGGGAAGCCCAGCACTGGACCCAGCACTCCAGATCTGGCCTCACCAGGGCTGAGGGGAGGGGAAGGATCACCTCCCTTGACCCACTGGCACCACTGTGCCTAATGCAGCCCAGGACACTGCTGGCTTTCCTTCTGATGAGTGAACATTGCTGATATTTCTTTGCTGCAGACTTCAATTCTTGACAAAATTCCAACGTATGTCAGTGCTGCAGAGTTATTCCCCTGTTTTTTTCATTTTTTTTTTTTACATAAACATGATAAGGGTTAAAAATATTGTTATATGCCACAACACTGCAGTGTAGGCCTGTAGTGTGCACAGTAAAGACTCAGCTTGAATTGCGCAGTTAAAGAAAATTCAAAACCACAGATTGTGATGTGATTATATTTTAACATTGGTAAAATATTTACTTTTCCTTTATGGTTTTACTTGGTTTTAGAAAGCAAGAAAAAGATCCAGTTTGGAAAATACTGGAAAGTTTTCATTAGAACTGTTGAAAAAGTCTAACTTACAAATGTCAAAATGCACCTGAGTCATCTATATAATATGTTTTTATTTCTTTTCCTGTGTCTCTTCTGGTTTTCTGTAAGAGCTATTTCATAAGTGAGGGATTAGTTCCAGAGAGCTACAATGGTGTCTTTGCAAATATGTTATCAATCAGTTTTGCATGTGGATTTTCTATGTTTTTGAAAGCAATGCTGAAATTTGAAGCCTTTGCTTCCTCTCTGTGTTTTCTTTCAGTGCCTCTGCCCTATCAGCTTACCTGCTTGCACAATGTCCTTTCCTGCTTAAATTTCTCTCCTGTATTCTTTGGTTTATGTTCCAAGCTGCATGGATGATATATCATGTTCAATTGCTCTTCTTCTCTGCAGCTATGTAATTTGACCAGAGGTGCTAGTGAGTGCCTTTTGTAGAGGAGGCACAGAAAGCTGCTTATCACTGCCTTGCTGGGATTTGACTCTGTGATTGTCCGAGCTACCAAATGTGTGCACCGTATTCTGCCTCGGGGTAACAGTTTTAAGTTAACTGGGGTAACCCTAACATCATTGGAGCTGCTGGGTGCTGTGACCTGCCACTCTACTGTATTTGTAACTGTGTGTTGCCTGCAGTGTTACAAAGAGCGTTCCTAGTAGTCAGTGATGCTGAGTATAAACAATTCACCTTCCAGTCGATGTGAGGCCTGTGGTACCTTCCCAAATAATATAGTCAGGATAGTTCCTGAATGGTGTTGAGTACTTGGTTAAAATTAGCCAAAATCTTTTATATTCCAAGTAATTTATTTTCCTGCCCTTCGTGACATGTTTGGCTCTGGTGGCTGTGTTCTGCCTGCATCTTGTGCTGTTTTCAGTAATACTGATTACCCTTCCCCTCACTTCTGTTGCAAACCATTATGACATGTCTTTTTACTGGTACGTGCTGCTTTCACACATGGATTGAGTTTCACCAGTGATCAAAACCAGATGGATCAGTCATGTGTGAGTACTAATTTAATCTGAGTGCTGCTGGGCTAATTGGAGTGGGCTAGTGGATGCGTTCCTTTCTTTTTCTTATACATAAATGAAAGTGTAATTTTAAATTGGACCTTGTCTTTCTGTTTCACTCTACAGAGAAGGGGCAAAAAAGGAGAACACATAGTTTTTGAAAGGTCTGAATTTGGTGATTTTCTTGGGAGAACCATTTTCTCTATAAGATGCATTTCATGGGCTATGTTGGGTGCACCAGCTAGGGACCTGCCAGAAGTAGTGCTAATTCCAGGAGTAGCAACAGATAGTGGAAATCTCTGTTCAGAGCTTCCAGCAATGGAAGGGAGATAGCCATGTTCTGTGTTGTCATAAGGTTTTCCCCTGTCTTTCTGCAGAGTGTGTCCTGTATTAGCTAAGCTCTAAACAGCATTAAACACATTTTCTGCAGCTGCATAAGAAAGCTGCCCAGAGTGGCTATTTATCACTCATACTCTGACCCACTCAGACCCACATTACCTGTACAGAAAACTGATCAGGAGGGGATAATTCTTTGCAGTTTCTCATGAAAGAAACAGGAGGTTGTGAATGCTCCATCCCTGGCAGTGTTCAAGACCAGGTTGGACGAGGCCTTGGGTGATATGATTTAGCGTAAGGTGTCCGTGCCCACGGCAGGGGGGTTGGAACTAGATGATCTTAAGGTCCTTTCCAACCCTAACTATTCTATGATTCTGTGATTCTATGATCAGACTTAGTCTTCACAGCTGTTTACAGTTCTTCCCCTCATGACAGCAGGAACATGTGGGACCCCAGGAAGTACCAGGACTCTGAGAATATTTTGAGAGGTGCTGTAGTGAGTGTGAGAGCCAGA